TTGTCAGTGCTTGTTAATCATTGGTCATGGCTTTTTAAAAAATATTTTATTGATTGATTTTTTTAGAGAGACGGGAAGGGAGGGAGAAAGAGAGGGAGAGAAACATCAACGTGTGAGAGATACACTGATGGGTTGCCTCTCACACGCCCCCAGTGGTGAGGGGGAGGGGGCCTCTGCCTGCAACCCAGGCATGTACTTTGACTGGGAATTAAAATGGCAACCTCTCGGCTTACAGGCTGGCGTTCAATCCCCTGAGCCATACCAGCCAGGGTTGGTCATTCTTATTTTTAATGATAGTGATGCTGATAAATCTTTCCACAGCTTTCCATCCCCTCAGGATATGACCCATGGCGTACAGGACACTGTTGTCTGCCCTGAGGACCATCTTCATCTTTGGCTCCCACCTCCTCTCTTCACAGCTCTTCAGCATCATTCAGTTCCTTGGAGATGCCATGTTCTTTAAGCCTTCGGACTTGCTGTTTCTTTTGCTTGGACCAGTCTTCCTGAAATACTGTTCTCCCCTCCCCTCATTCTCTAGCTAATCACCAACTCACTTTTCAGGTTGTTAAACAGAAAACCGCAGGCCCAAAATGGCATCACTCCTGCTCAAAACCCATGATACCAAGTCTAGATTTAATACCTGATTCCAACTGCAGTTTCAACCTCTCCAGAAGCATAATTTTAATCTATTGGTCTGGAGTTTCCTGATCCATACTATGAGGTCATCTACCTCAGAAGGTGTCCTTACCTGAAATAATCCACCCTTTGAATTTCTTAGTCCTACTCTCATCCATTTAACTTCTTTTTTAAAATTAAATTTTTTATTGTAGTTCAAGTATGTTTTAACTTCTTAGTCCCACTCTTTTTCTGCCTATAAAAAACTTCCACTTGTTACAAGTCATGGGAGAGCCTTTTTAGTTGATAGATGAGATGTTGCCTGATTCATAAATCACTTAGTAAAGCCTATTAGATGTTTAAATTTACTTAGTTAAATTATGTTTAAATTTTTTTTTAGTTTATTGATTTCAGAGACAGTAAGGGAGAGAGAGAGAGAGAAACATCGATTATCATTCTACTTATTATATGTATTCTTCGTTTGGTTCTTATATATGCCCTGACCAGGGTTTGAACCCGAAACCTTGGCCTATTTATGACCAAGCTCTAACCAAGTGAGCTACCCAGCCAGAGCTGAATTATGTGCTTTTCTTTTCTTTAATCCTCACCCGAGGACATTCTTCACTGTTTTCAGAGAGAAGAAGAGAAAGAGAGAAACATCAATCCGTTGCCTTCCATACACTCTCAGATAGGAGATCAAACCTGCAACCTAGGTTTGTGCCCTGACAGGAAATCAAACCTGTAATTTTTCACTTATGGGATGATGCACCAACCAACTGAGCCATCCTGGCCAGGCCAGGGCTGAATTATGTTTTTTAACGAGGTTTTGGCTTAGAATCACTGTGTCCGTGCCTGTCTGCTTCCAGCAGCACCATGCTCTTTCACTCTCATTGCACTTACTCATTCATTCGTTTGACAAACACTTATTGAGTGCCATCTACATGCTAAGCACTGCTGTATGCTTATCTATCACACTGTATTATCACTGCCTGCTTCAATAAACTTTGTGTGTGTGTATTGCACTATAATTCACATACCACAAAATTCGCCCTTTTAAGTATATATAGTTCAGTGGTTTTTAGTATACTCACAAAGTTTGGCAACCATCACCATTGCTTAATTCCAGAACTTTTTCACCACTCCAGAAAAAAAATCATTAGTATTCTCCCCTCCCCCCAGGATCTGGCAACCATTAACCTTTCTATCTCAACAAATTTGCCTATTCTGGATATTTCAAATAACTGGAATCACACAATATGTGGTCTTTTGTCTTTTACATAGTATAATGTTTTCAAGGTTCATCCATGTCATAGCATGCATGTATCAGCACTTTATTTACTTTTATGGCTGAATAATAGTCCATTATATGGATTATATGGATATATTTGTATGATTTAGTCATCAGCTGATGGTCATTTGGGTTGTTTCTACTTTTTAGCTATTTTGAATAATTCTGCTGTGAACAATCACAGCAAGTTTTTCTGTGGGTATATGTTTTCATTTCTTTTGAAAATATACCTAGGAGTGGTATTGTTGGGTCACATGATAACTTCATGTTTAATCTTTTTTTTTTGCCTTGACTGGTGTGGCTCAGTAGGTTGGGGGTTGTTCTGCCAAACAAAAGGTCCCCAGATAGATTCCTGGTCAGGACACTTGCCTGGATTGCAGGCCAGGTGCCTGGTTGGGGGTTGTGTGAGAGACAACCAATCGATGTTTCTTTCTCTTTCTCCCTCTCTTACCCTCTCTCTCAAAATAAATAAATAAAATCTTTAAAAAAATTGTTTTTTATTCACCGATTGTATTGAGTGATTTGAGAATGAGAAAGAGAGAATGAGAAAGAGAAACTGATATCAATTTGTTGTTCCACTTATTTATGCATTCATTGGTTGCGTCTTATACATGCCCTGACCAGGGATCCAATGTGCAACTTTGGTGTATGGGGACGATGCACTGACCAGCTGAGCTCCTGGCCAAGGCCTATGTTTAATCTTTTTTGAGAAACTGCCGTCCTATTTTTCTTGGCAGATATACCATTTTATATTCTATCAGCAATGTATCAGGATTCCAATTTCTTTACATCTTACCAACACATGTTATTGTCCTCTTTGATTGAGCCATCCTCGTGGGTGTGAAGTGGTTCCTCTGAAGCTCTGTGAGAACAAGGACTCCTTCGTCTGTCTGGGTCACCACCGTATCCTAGCACTGAGTGCAGTACCTGGCACTTATTAGATATTCACATTTTGTTCCATATACTGAAAAGTGTTGAATGAATAGGTAAATTGAAAGCTAGTTAGATGGCTACAATACTTATTGATTGTAGGAATGTAGGAAAAAACAAAATGTTCCAATACACAAGAAATGATCTTTAAGTGCCTAAATGAGAAATTTATGCACACCTAAGTCCTAACGAGTGATCTGCAGAAAAATAAGAAAGCTTTTATCTCCCCAATAGAGATCTCTATTTATCACCCCCATAGAGTTCTGTCAGGGGATCTGGTGTTCTTTTTTTCCTGCACAGTACAAAACCACCCTTTTCTGTTACAATAGACTTTTTCTTTTCTTTTCTCTCTTCTCTTCTTTCTTTCTCTTTCCTTTCCTTTCCTTTCTTTCTTTCTTATTCTCTCTCCCCCCCCTTTCTTTCTATTGTATTTTTTCCTATTACCATTAATCTTCCTGGTTCCCCCTCCCCCTGCTGTTACCACAGACTTTCTTCAGGGACAAATATGGTTTAAATTTAAGCTTTCTTTTTTTTCTTCTTCACATCAGTCTTTCGGATCTTCTCATTTAGGCACTTAAAGATAATTTCTCGGGTATTGGAACATCTTGTTTTCCCCTGTGTTCATATCTCCTACAGAACTCTTGACTTCCTTCAGCAGGCCTTTTTGCTGACCCCCAAGCACTCCATGACTGCAAATAGCCTTCTTCCTGTTTCCTTCCAAGCTGGTCACACTGGGACAATCAGTAGCTGTGACAGACCAGCCATGTTTGTTTGTTTTCTTTCAATATTTCTCTACACCCTTGTTGACATAAGCAACATCCAAACCTGTAGGGAATTTTTATAAGGGTTTATTTGAGCCAAACTGATGACAGTTACCGGGAAGCAAGATCTCAAATACTCCAAAGAATAAGTTTTGCAGTTTCTTTTTATACATTTGGAATTAAGGGAGGAACATAAAGAAGACTACATGAAGGTGGGAGAAAATAATGTACAGGAGAGTAAACATTATGTGCTCCCTTGAGGATGGTTACACCTTCCTTCAAGTGGTCTGAAAAAGGCATTTCAAAACCCGTTAACCTAGATGCACAGAAACAATGAGCAGGGCTTGCTGAAGAGAAAGATAAAACTTTTAAAAACTCTTTTTATTGTTTATGCAATTACAAGTTGTTTCCACTTTCTCTCCCTTTCCCCACCTCCACCTAGGGAAAGGTAAAACTTTTACTAAAGAAATGATATACCCGGGGTGTGACTGCCCAATTAGGAATTTATGGTCAGATCACCCTGTGAGGTTACTTGCAGTTAGATTTATCACAGCACCTCTTTTTTGATCACACTATTTCAGCTCCTCGATTTGGAGGTCAGACCAGGGGCTGAGTGATGCTTTTTTTTTAGCACTCAGTACTTGAAAAATAGTGAGTGAATGAGTGAATGAAGGAATGAGAATATGGGTGTATGTGAGAGGGGCATACTGCAAAATGCAAGCTTGGTGAACAAATATTTATTGAAACACATTACGTCCCAGGCCCTCTGGTCCATGCCGGATAAAAGGTAATGAAACAGGAAACTCTCCTTGGACTAAGAAGTTTCTAAAATCATTACTTTTTATTGCATTATTCCATTTCCATTTCTGTATCTTTTCACCTTTTATCACACAACTAATGATTTTCGGGATCACATTTTAGCTAAGGTACCTACTCATTTACTTAAGTCCAAAAGACGTTTTCATCTGCTGTCAGAAAATTATGGACAGTGTGCCAGGGCGCCGTTTATCTCCAAACAGCAAAAAATCCCCCAAATGCTAAGCTTCCTGATCTTAGGGGTCCTTGGATGGAGAACCTCGTAAAGAACGAACACAGTGCCCAGCAGAGGGTGCTGTGGGGGCAAATTTGAGCCCGGAGGGGAGCTTGACCAGTGACCCTCAGAGCCAGGTAGGCGTCTTGAGTAATCTTTCGTCTTGCTTGTGTTTCCTTTCCACCCCCTAGAGCCTTCGCCACTCCTCCCCCATAGGTGGTTCCCCCTGCATAATTAACCACTTTCAGGGACTTAAAGAGTGTTCTCTTTGGAAAGACGCCTTGCTCCTGTTTCTGACGATTGGTACTTCAGGACACTCAGGCCACAGGCCCGCAGGGGCTGGGTGGTTGGGTGGGGGCCTCTTGAGCGTCAGCGGCGAAGCGCTGCAGGGGCCGGGAAGGGGTTAAGCCGGCGGGGGGGAAGGGGAGGGGGCGCGGGCCGCGCCTGCGCTCTGCCGCCCTCCATTGTCTACACGGCTGCGAGGAGCGCCGGCGAGCGCAGCCCGGGACCTAGCGGGGCGGTGCGGCTGGCCGGCCGGCAGCAGCTGGAGCGAGAGCGCGACGTGACGCGACCGCGGCTTCCCGAGCTCCGCTTGGCCGCCCAGCACCGCAGCCAGCCCAAGGCCTGGAGGGGTCCGGGTCGCCGTCCACAGTCGCGGCGTCCTCAGGCGGGGGACGCGCCCGGAGCCCCCAGCCCTCCTCGCCTCCTCCTTTCGGGCCGGCGGCCTCCTCCGGCGTCTCCCCGCGCCCGCCTGCCGCCTCCCTCCCTTCTTCCCTGCGGCTCCCTCTGCTTTCGGGAGCCCGGGGGCGGCCTGTGGCGTTCCGAGCCTGCGCCGGACTGCGCCTCTTTGGACCTTGAGGGGAAACATGCGCTTGGCTTGGATCGTTTTAAATTCTTAGTTTGGGATCCCCGCCCGCCTGCCTCTTCCGCCCCGCGGGTTTTCTTTTCTTTTTTCTTTTTTTCCCTCCCGATCTCCTTTTTGACTCCCAACCCCTTTATGCTCGCCCAACCCTCCCCCTGCTGCTGAGAAGTGGGGGAGGGCTTTGGCCTCCAGGTTCCCGCCCCATCGGGGCTCGGGCGAGCATGGGGGGCAAGCAGAGCACGGCGGCCCGCTCTCGGGCCCCCTTCCCGGGGGTCTCCACTGATGACAGTGCTGTGCCCCCGCCAGGAGGGGCGCCCCACTTTGGGCACTACCGGGCGGGCGGCGGAGCCATGGGGCTGCGCAGCCGCTCGGTCAGTTCGGTGGCGGGCATGGGTATGGACCCCAGCACGGCCGGGGGGGTGCCCTTTGGCCTCTACACACCCGCCTCCCGCGGGACCAGCGATTCCGACCGGGCGCCGGGCGGTGGAGGGTCAGCGTCGGAATCCACTTATGCCCAAGGCAATGGTTACCAGGAGACGGGCGGCGGTCACCATAGAGACGGGATGCTGTACCTAGGTTCCCGAGCCTCGCTGGCGGATGCTCTACCTCTGCACATCGCACCCAGGTGGTTCAGCTCGCACAGTGGTGAGTCCGCGGGTGGTGGAGGCCTCGGAGGGTGGAGTGCAAAGGAGGGCGCGCGTGCGGAGGTTTCGACGTAGAGTGCACGACCTGGATCTGTCTGTTGTCCCGTTGGTTCCGGAAGCCAGGGACGAATGGGATACCGACCCTCTAGAAAAGAGGTTTTCTGTGAGGCTGTGGAGCCGGGCGTTTTTGGACTTAAGGCGTTGGTTCACTTATGGATGGGCAGAGTGAAACCTGCCTATTGAAGTCCCACTTATTGGCAGCACCATCCTCAGAGAAAAGGTCTTGCTTATATACAGTCAGCCTCGGTGCTTTCTTTCTGTAACTGCATCATTGTGCCTACCTCACTCTTGCCAGACAGACAGATTTACCAATTTGACCAAGCTGGGCGGTGTCTCCTAAACAAAGAGTGTGAAAAGAAATAAAATTGGGGCCAAGTGGTGGTTGGATTTGGGCTCTCACTCTAGCTGGGAGAGAGGGGTGCTCAGTTTTGCCACCCTGCTGGAGATCTCTTCGAATTGTTTAAAATGGAGCAGCTAGCAGGCTGCTGGCATAGACAGGTGTGGCCTGCCGAATGGAGGCCCAGCCAGGGAGCCTCCTCCCAGGCTTTGCAGGACTAGGGCTGTGGTCACCCTTGCTGCATGCAGTAGGTTTGGCTACATGACTCTCACATCCCTCCATCTTTTTTTCCTTCCTCTCCATGCTAAGTGCTTGGTCTTCCAGGTAATCTGCATCTTTTTGTATGGAGAGGTGGGGTTTTATTGCCAGGTGGTTGGTACATGACAGGGGAAGAGGAGGATTCAAAGAATCTGGATGAATTCATGTTGTGTACTTCTGGTGACTAGCCAGGGAAAAGCTGGAGGAGGATTTCCCAGGCTTTGTCTGGCAGGAGCTTCTGGAGGAAAACAGGTCTGTCTGCTCAGCTAACCTGAGAAGCCAGGTTAGGCTTCTAGAAAATTGGCCAAAAGAGGTGTGCAGCCACTATTTACTAATTGGTCTTTATTTGGGGGAATCGGTCGGATTTTTTTTTTTCAATTCTATAAACTTTAATTTGTGAAAAAAAAATTTCAGGGGGGAGAATAGTGACACTTGAAAGTCTTTTGAATTGCTAGGATGGCATTTTATTATATGTACAGGTCTCTAGATACCATTGAAGCTTCTCAGACTTGCATCAAACTCTTCCCTGAATGAGATGCAAGGCATGACTGCCTGTAGCACTTGTAGATGTGTGATCAGCTTTAGGTGGACGTCTTGAAATTGATCATCTTTTTCATAAAATTTGGTCCAGAGTCTGCTGTATTTACAAGATGATGTGGTTAAGTGTTTAAAAGAACTGTCATAAATATCAGATTTTAAAATTGAAAAGCACTGTAAGAAGTTTCTCTAAAACCACAGAATTTTGTGTGTTGTAAAACAAATGCAACCAGAGGCTTGTCTGGGGAAGGAGTTCCTGATTGCTAAAATTTCTTGTATGTCTTTTACTAGAAAATTCTTTTCCCACCAGGTTTCATGCTAGAGTTGTGAGCTTACAATTGGATTCCCAAATTTCAGATTCCTCAGCTGTGAAATCTTTGTTTGTTTTTTCATCCAGTTGTGGTGAGGGCAGGAAGAGCCACTGAACCATGGGAATACAGGAAAAGTTGGAGCATATTAATCCCTTAAGGGAGTAATATAGTAAAGCATATGTTGGGGGCTGCTATTAACATTTTGGGTAGTAACTTTCTTGATGGGACCATGCTGTCCTTTTGAAAGACATTGAGCATACCTAGTCCTACCCACTACATGCCCTCAGGAATTTCCAAATGCTCTTGATGGAAGCATGGGGTGGGGGTGGGGGGTACCACCCAGACCAAGAACCACTGCTCTAGGAATTCATTCTTTTGCCCTGGCCTGATAGCTCAGTTGGTTAGAGTGTGGTCCGTTACACCGAGGTTGTTGGATGGCTACCCAGTCCCCAGTCAGGGCACATACAAGAAGCAACCAATGAATGAACAACAAATGGTTTTTTCTCTGTCTCTCCCGCTACTCCCTCTCTCCTTCTCCTTCCCCCTCACCCTATCCCCCTTTATCTCTCCCTCTGTCTCTCAAATCAATAACTGAAAATTAAAAAAGAATTTGTTCTTTTATTCAAATAAAGTAATTAGTTTTTCCTGTGCAGTTTATTTGAGATGAACCTTCATACTACCGCACTTCTGCAGCGGTGGTTCTATCTTCCTGTCTGGAACATGCCAAGGGATCTTCTAGGACATCCCTTTCCTCTTTTGTTCAGTGTTATAAGAAGACACTCATTTCTATTCTGTAGCCTATGAGTAAGGTCTGAGCAGTTTTTACTTTTGCGTTGTAAAAGCAGAAATCCTTACTTTTGTGCAGTAAGGATTTCGCTGCACAGTTGACTAGATGCCTGGAAGTTGAAGTGATGCTCTTGCTTGTGTTTTCCAGGTGCTTTGGAACTCTTCATGGGCAGTCAAATAAGCAGGGGAGTTCAGTGTGTAGGAGGCTTCCTCAAAGGGAGTGAGCTGATGTATCGGGGTAGAATCGTGGGGTCCCAGCTCCAGGGAGTAGCTGTGACCTCAGGTGAGACACATCTTCTCTCTTGAGCCTCATCTTTGTTATTTTAAAAATAGATGTGTAATCCCCACCTGCCAGCCTCCTAAGGTTGTTTCCCAAACCGAGTGAGGATTCATAGCGGTCAAATTTGTCTTCTCTTCGTTCCCAGACTTTCTTGGGCTGTGACCCTCACTCATCCTGTTCCCTATGCCTGGAATGCTTTTCCTTTCATTCTGTAGATCGATATCTCTTTCTGATCACTTAGGGTTCAACTTAAATTTGTCTTCAGAGACTGGCCTTAAAAACTGGCTCCCTCCTGTTTATCTCTCCAGTCACTCACCTGTTACCTTATTAGAATTTATACTTTATAAATATTTATTTACCTGTTTACTTTCCTGTTTAGTTTGACTAAATTTTAAGCTCTACAGGAACAGAACTGTGCCTCTTGATCACTGTTGTAACTCTTGTACTATGTGTGCTCAGCACAAATACTGGTTGAGTGAGTGGAGTTCCTTGTGTCCATCATCTTATGTAATCATCACTATAACTCTGTGAGATAAGACATTTTATTCCCATTGTACAGGTGAGGAAACTGAGGTGTAGGGGAGGTTAAAGAACCTACACAGGTTAAATAGCTAATAGGTGGTGGAGCTGGGATTGGAATTCTGGTCTAGCCACAGTCAGAACTTGGGCTCTTAATGATTACACTCGCCTGCCCCCCATCCTAAAACAAGGAAGCCGACAGTGTCCTGGAAGTTGCGGTGGCCTGTGAGTCAGAGGACTGTGCTTATCTCCTGGTTGGGCTACTAACTGCCTGCCTACTTGTGGCTTTAGGCAAGTAGGTCATTCAGCTGTAGAGTCACCATTTCTTTTTCTTTTTTTTAATTGATTTTTTAGAGCAAGCATCAATATGTTGTTCCACTTATTTATGCATTCACTGGTTGATTCCTGTATGTGCCCTGACCGGGAATTGAACCCTAACCCTGGCATATCAGGATGGTGCTCTAACAAACTGAGCTACCTGGCCAGAGTACAGGATACATATTATCCCCATCTTACAGGTGAAGAAAATGTAACTCTGCTCTGTAGCTTGTTTGGTTAGAATACCATACTGATATGCCAGGGTTACGAGTTCAATTCCCGGTCAGGTCACATACAGAAATCAACCAGTGAATGCATAAATAAGTGGAACAACAAATCGATGTCTCTCTCTCTCTCACATATATATATATATATATATATATATATATATGCGTGTGCGCACTCACACACACACACACACCCACCCCTGCTTACCTTGTTGGGTCTCCTGAGATAGTGTTTAGAAAAGCCATGTAACATTCATAAGGAGAGTGATGTTCCTTTGGGAGCGCTTCTCTTATAGTTCTCTGCCTTCTTTCATCTTAGAATTTCCTGGGCATTGAGATTTAGAGCTGTGTGAACTGTTTCCCCGAAATGGAAGCGAGTGCTCTCTACTGAAATCCAACCTACACTGACAGGCCGCTCATAATAATAAATGCCATTGAGAAGAGCTGCTTTATAGGGTCAGAGTTAAAGAGTCCATTCCTTTCCACATTAAAATGTAAGTTTTGCTGCAAGGTGTTTAACTCCTAATAGTATCCTGTCTATCTCAGAAGATGGATTTCTAGATGTATGTGTGTGTCAGGGTGGCGGCGGGGGGTGGGGGGGGGGCAATAGAGGATCCACCATGTAGGAAGGAAGAGGTTGCCTGTTTTCTGAGTCCTACTATAGAATGGCCTGAGGGTTTCACTCCAACTTAGTCATGTGTATGTGTACACATGCACATTCAGAAAAATCTGAACTATGCTCTGATGTCAACAAGCCATCAACTGGGGCCGAGAGAAAGGTGACTTTTCATAAGTCTTTAAACAAGCTAGCAGGATAGCTCATGGTTCTATTTTGCTGCCATACTAGGGTTCTCAGGTGATTTGATTTTCTGTATTCTTGAATAATTAGGGAGAGTTGCCAACTCCACTGGGGTGGATCAGAAAGCCTTTTCGTCCTCACCATGGGTGTGCGAGAGGTGATGGTCCTTTACGTGGTTTCTGGAGGAGGAAGTGCCCCTGGTGGTCTCCCAGGAGCATGATGGGTCTCCTGCCCAGTAAAAATTCTGTTTTTAATGAAAAAAAAATTTTTTTTAAGCATTAAGCAGGGTTTTCATGGTTTAGCAGAGAAACTAAACCATGAGGGCTTAGTTTCTATAAAATAAAAGAAGTTCCCTCGAGGAGAAGATAATTTTTAAGAAAAATCTTATTTATTTTTCTTTAGAGAAAGGGAAAGGGAGGGAGAGAAACCTTGATGTGTGAGTGAAACATCAATCGGTTGCCTCTTGCACGCCCCCAACAAGGGACTAGACAGACAACCCAGGCTTGTACCCTGACCGGGAATTGAACCTTGCAGGCGGGCGCTCAGTCTGCTGAGCCACATCAGTCAGG